CATTTGACTCTCAGATTTGAGAAGTAATTTACAAACAGGAGTGAGAAAACATTCCCTGATATTGGCAGCCATAGAAATAAGGTTGTGTGTTGTTGTTTTTTCTTTTCTTATTACAGTTATTACAATTTCTCTTTGTGACTAAATGGAAATCACTGGGACCACCATAACTTTCATATCTGCCAACACACAAGGAAATGTTAGCAGCTAATGCCTGCCTCCCCCATAAGAGTTCCACTTTACATAAGCAAGGGAGGGCATGGGAAATGTGGGCACGAAGACAGAGAGACCCAAGTGCTGCTAACAGCTGACTGTTAATGCAAGAACGTGTTAGCAAGGAGAACCTAACAGTTTGAAGAGGAACATCTCACTTCGAGAAAAATGCCTTGGGTTGGCTGTTTCCCCACCTTTGGAGGGGGAATGAATGATCGATCATGCTCAGATCTTGGAAACCTGACTTTTTGAACTTCAGCTCCCAGTATAGCCCAGCCAGCATGGCCATTCTGGGAATAACTTTCCCAAGCTCTAATCTATAGTGTCTCATGGCTCCGATGTCAGATGTTAAACCAAGTCTACCCTTGGTTTAAAGAAGCTCTCAAAGGGATAGCAGCTTCATTTTATATACTGCTTCATACCACGCTATGCAGTCTCAAGAGGTTTACAACTGTTAGCTAATTGCCCCAACAAGCTGGGTACTTATTTTAGCCACCTCTGAAGGATGCAAGCTTGAGTTGAGCCTGAGCCCTGGCTGGTATTGAACTCGCAACCTTGTGGTTTGTGAGTGAATGATTGCAGTACAGGCATTAAACCACTGCACCATATGGGCCATGTCTGCACGGGCCAGAATACTCTGGGAGCAGGCTGGAGTATCCTAGCTCCCGAAATGCCTTGACACCCCCTCTGTCACCAGGGCAATACTGGGTGGCTGTTTGCCTGGGCATCCCACTGTGCTGCCCACCAGTATGAACCATTCCCTCTGAGGTTGAAAATGAGGCATCCAGTGTCAATCATATGGCTGGGTACCTTGCTCTGACTTCAGAGGGAGCAACTTGCACCAGAAGCAGAGGTGGCACAACAAAGCATGCATGTGAACAGCCATCCAGCGTGGCTCCAGAGGGCTCTGAATTTTCTGGGAAAATCTGGACTTGACTTTTTAAAATTCATTTTAAGGGTGGTATACCATAGGTTCGGTGCTGAACTGACCATATGTCATCAGGATAGTTTATACCAGAATAATGGATTGCATCATCTGGACTGAACGCTGTGGCTATGGGAGGAGAACATCTCATTTTTGGCTGGATCTACAAAATAGGTCCATGTCATGCCATACTTGGAGGAGGCCTCCTCAGACAAAGAAGGAGAAGAGGAGTGCCAGCAGGATTCACCCCTGCCAGTGTCAGCGGAGGCTGGTGTCCTATTGTGACGGAGGCAGAGCCTGGACCATCCCATGCAGCACTAACAGATTTCGAGGAGGAAATGGAGTTTCTGCATCATATTGTATGCTGACATCTTAAAATGCTGAGAAGAGAGACACCTCTCATAAATCATAGAATCATAGAATCATAGAGTTGGAAGAGACCACAAGGGCCATCCAGTCCAACCCCATTCTGCCATGCAGGAACTCCCAATCAAAGCATCCCCGACAGATGGCCATCCAGCCTCTGCTTAAAGACCTCCAAGGAAGGAGACTCCACTACTCTCCGAGGAAGGAGTGTGTTCCACTGTCGAACAGCCCTTACTGTCAGGAAGTTCCTCCTAATGTTGAGGTGGAATCTCTTTTCCTGGAGCTTGCACCCATTGTTTCGGGTCCTAGTTTCTGGGGTGGCAGAAAACAAGCTTGTTCCCTCCTCAATATGACATCCCTTTAAATATTTAAACAAGGCTATCATATCACCTCTTAACCTTCTCTTCTCCAGGCTAAAATCACCCCTGGAATGACTGAGACAAGGAGAAGGTCATAGATTATCAGGATAGCAAAGCTATCTCTGAGTCTGAGGAGATGGGGGCTGGAAAGTGCATGCCCCCCAGCAGGAGCTGGCAGAGGCTGAAGATGCTGAAGACAATAACTCCCCCATCCTTTGTTACACAGCAAAGAGAGAAGCACCAAGTGCACCAGCAGATAAATCTGAACGCTCATGAATTAGGCCCCAGGTGTTGCTGAGACAGCTGACCACAAAACTCCTACCAGTTCCTCCGTGTCTTCTTTGTTCTCAACTGTCTGATCCGCATGTCTGTCTCTCATGTTTCTTTGACCTTGGACTGACTATGTTTTGATGACTTTATTTCTTGTATCTGAATTGCAGGCTTGCTAACTACTCCTGGAGTGGCTGGCGACTGCCCTTGTACTTCTCCTTTCTTCTGGCTCCAATACTCCATGACTGACTCGGACTGGACTGACTACCTGACAGCTCTTACACACCAACAACTTACTTCCTTGGATACTTGCTGCTTCATTTCCAGGACACCAGAAATGCTTTCCTCTACCTTAAATGAATTGTGCCAGTCGAGGAGGTCAGCTGTGCTAATTTACTGCAGGATATAAATTAGTCCAGCCAAGGCCATTCTCATGCTGTAGATAATGGATCTAACACTTTCATGTGTGATTTCCTCATTTTCCTGTGATTCTTACCCTTGGCTTGATTTTGGACTAATCTCTCTGGCAACTCTCTGCTTGCTTTTGGACTTCGCTCAGGAC